AAGACACAGAATCAACTAAGACCTCAGCGCATGAACAAAGAGAGAAGACAACACTGAACATTATCAGATATAGATACTAAACTTTAAACATACTCTTCTTACAGATACGGCTGAAAACACAGTGCGACACCACATGGTTTAATTTCCCATATAGAGTCAGCTGACCTGGCTTTACGTTTAAAGATTATGTCCATGTTGTTGTGTGAAAACAATAAAGAAGTCTAATACTGAGCAACCCCTGAGTCTAACTTTTGAGAAGAAAAAAAACTAACAATCTTTTTATACACTTTCCTGCAATAGCAAACATTAACAAAGTTTTATCACACACTGGTTTCAAATATGTATGCGGGATATAACTAGGATATGCTTCCTTATTTAATTCTCAGTGGAAGCCATGCGAACATTTAATTATTCCACTCACTTTAAGACGTAGGCACCAGTGATGTGGACAACGTAAAGGCAGATGTAATAGAGCTGGCGGGGGATGTCCTCCTATGGAAACAAAACAAAGGAGAAACAGAAGTTAGTAACAGCAGCAGCATCAGTAACCTCAAAGAGCACAGCTTGGTTTAAAGGATCACAAAATATTGCATTTAATAGTTTTATTTAATGTTTAGCGATTGATCTTAAGGAACAATGATTTTCTTCAAACACTGCTACAATCAAAAAGGCTAATTAACACCCCTGTTTTTACACTATATGATACATCTTCTATGCAATTTATGCCTTAACATTTACTTGGCTCTAAAATGATGTCCATACACACATACAATCCCTAACAACAACAATGGAGTAGAAAAAGCTTCTTTGCCAGCTTCTGCATGCTTATTCAAACAAAAATACATTTACAGCTTGAGTATAGGTTCTGCAACAAAAGTGTTGTTTTTTTAAGGTATTCCTGGCTCTTAAAAACTGCACATCTGCAGAGTTGTCAGCTGATTCTTCATGGAGGCACATGAAAACGCCAGCAGGGATTAGCGGAGGTTAGAGCGGACAACTGACTGAGGTATAAACAACTGCATTTAACACACTGCAGAGCCATTACACAAAGTGTCTTCACCAATTCATCTGTAAAAAGGCTACACCGCAAAAACAAGACTGCTGATGTGAATAAATAAGTTGCTTTCAAGTAAAACCTTTTCTTAAAAAAGTCTTACCTTCCGTACTTTTTGAAAGTATAGTTCAGGAAGTGCATGGAGCCAATAGGCAATTTGGCAAATGTAGAAGAACTTGACCTGAAAACTAGACAGAGGACAGGTTGTTCAGAGGAGAGAGTCTGGGTGTTATTTCGTCTTGGACAGAAGTTCATATCATATTAATGAATAATAGATAATGCTGTGCATGGTGCAATGTTCTGTAACTTCTATTAAAATACAGCGAGAGGTGCAACAAATGGCATATCAAACAACATCTATGACTTTCAGAATGTGATATGAAAGTTAGAAGAAAAAACAGGAAGTGTTTTTTTTTTTTTAGATCAATCCCATTACCATCTAATTCAAAACAAATGAAACAATACAAGTGTATAATTTATTTAAAAATAAGGGCTCAAAATACTTCTAAATGGAAAAACTTCCTCAGTAGAACTCCTTTATAATTGGATAATGTGTCAGTTTGTACTTACACCATGTGAGTGTGTGGGTACCCCTCCCATAAGAATGTAGGATTTGTTGCAAAGTCCTCCTGTGGGAGAAGAGACAGGACATCAGATACAGCCTAATGCATGCTGGGACAGAGTGTTTCTTTGACTCCTGACCGCCGTACCGCTGTTAGGATGCTGCAGCCCCAGATGAAGGAGAACAGGTAGAACGCAGCCAACTGTCCAGACTCGTTGAACTTGCTGTGTTTGGTTTTTGACAAATGCAACCTCCTGTTCATTTTCTGAAAATGAAAATGAACAACATATTACACAAGGTGAACGCATAGATTAATCACGTTGGGGATATTTGATTCTTCCTTTTCTAACTTTGAAGTGTGCGTCACTCCTTTAGTTAGTCATATCTCATTTCAAAACAAAGATATTGGTACATTACATTCCACAATTGACTTGTGAGGAAAAAGGGTTTAAGCTTATAGAACTGCCTGTTAAAGAGTTACAGCTGTCGTGCTTCAAAATGGATATAATTAACATCAATGAAGAAGAGGAATATTTCAGCAAGCAAAACCTTGACTTATCTTTAGAAGAATTTCCTCTTTGTTGAAAGTCCACCAAAGGTTTTTATTTTTGGAATCAAATAATAATGATAACCACTCGGAACTGACATCAAAAGATAAAATAAATCATCTTTTCATGAATATCTTTTCAGTTATTATTGTTTATTCCGCATGCAGCTAGAAGTATTGGATGTGATAACTTAAAAACATCTATACAAGCCTTAGTCATGGATCAGAACAGAGCAAACACATGAGCGTTATTTGATGTGTTTCAAATGAAAAACTAGACCAATACATCTGACATTGTGCAGGCTGAGAACATAGCGGCAGAGTGATCCTTCGGCACAGTTTGTTTCCCTCATGGCATGTTAATACTCAAAGGTAAAAATATCTAAATAATAGGTAGCTGTGTGCGAACAATAAAAAACAATGTCAGCCAATATTATGGCTGTGGAGTTTGGATATTAATGCACTCACATCCAGAATATATTCTTGTATCAAGGCATGAAGGATGACTGCAATAAGCAAATAGAAAAATACAGTGGCCACATCTTTAGGGCCGTACTGATACAGGTTCACTGGATCACTTTTCTCATCTGAAACAAAAGAGAAACACAAAGTTAATGCCTAAGCAAGCTGAGCATTTTTCCAGAAAATGTTTGCAGGAAAATGCAGTTCAATTTCAGTGATCTTAAAAAAGCTGAAATGAGTACTATTACTGTTAAATTGAGCTCACCAAGAACTTGTGTTACATTGTACTGGACTGTGATGAACATGATGGCGAACTTGGCTGTGACCTGGGACACAAAGAAAGAAACAGGATCAGATTAAAGAGTTTCTCTCGGATCACGAAAATGTTTCATACAAAGAAATCCAAGCCTTTGGTTAGTTAACTCACACTGAAATAAACATGGGAAATAACTCTTACCTGTTTGGGAACACTACTCTTAGGTGTGATAACTTTCTTCAACATGTGCACATAATCATCAATTCATGCACATACAGATTTAGATTAGTAAAGGACTGTCGTGATAGTGCAACATCCTGAATTCAATGATAACCATAAATGGGATCTGGGAACATCCAGGGGCTCTAGCAAAATTAGGTATTTTGTAAAGTCACTTTCATTGTTAAAATACCTCTAACCATCAGTAATGGTATTGATAATGTATACCAAGCTTTATAACCCAGCATTATCTTAAAGGTAAATATTGACCATGAGTAAATCTGATCAATTTAAACAATATTTATTTGGGTGTGGACAGGTCAGAGTATTGTTCCATTTAAATTCAGCTGTACTTTATCTATCCAATCTATCCAAAATTGCTGGTAGTTAAATGTGTAGCATGTAGGCAGATATTTAGCCTGGCCATGTTGTTGCCAAAGGCCAGATACATGTATTGATTTCCATCGGAGGCAATGCATTAGCCTGGTAAAATGACCTGTTAGCTGTGCCAGTGGGCCTCCTCGCCATCTTCTTTGGCAATCAGTGAGACACATGAGAAGGGAAGGAGAGAGACACACTATCGCCCCCCTGCCTCTGTAGTGCTGCTGTCATGTCAGCTAACGATAGCAGCAGCCGCTAACATCACTCTGCTAACCACAGCTCCTGTCCAAGCACACAGTACCTCGAACATCAGGCCGAGGAGGATAATCATGGCCAAACACGACACCATGTCGGCGTGATTCTGGATCACAAACTCGTGGCTCAGCACCGGGGGACTCTTGTTCTTCTTGCGGAACCCCATGGCTCACCGATGCGGCTCTCCCTGCTCCGGGCTCCGTGCTTCAGGCTGCGCTAGTTTCCCCTCCCGCTGCACGGCTGCTGTTGGCGGCCTCAACGGTCCCAACGGACGGCTGTTTGCTGGTCGCTGCAGTCCGGACACACAGTGAAACGCTGCTTTAAAAACAGTCATGAAGATGCATCGCACCAAACTAAACACTACAGCACAACACCCACTTTCCCTCTGCCTGGTAAAATCAGATGACGGGTCCTCCCACTTCAGAACCCCATTCATGAACCGCCCAGTAGCATTGACGTAGAAGGAGAACCCAGGCCCGTGGTGCGTTCAGGGACTCACATTTATATATATAATTGTACTTTTTTATTCCATTTTCATTTTGCTACGAAGAACCAGAAGCTTTAACTCAATAATTGTACCCTTGTATACATAACTAAATATAATCTGTAAACCAGGTAATTGAAAGCCAGATTAAAACGAGAGGTATTTAATTTCCTTTAAAAAATACAGAGAGAGCTCTCAATTCTAATATTCAGATGCACTGCCAAAGTTAGGGGCATAACCGGGCATAACATAATAATAATTTAAAAAAACAGGAGAAACTAATCAATATCCGATGAGGTAAGATCAAGGCAACTTATTAATAAAAGGACTTTAAAAGACAGGCTACAGACGTGCAGTGTCTTTTCTGAACAAGTTATAGTTTTCTTATTGACTTTTTAACTAAGTATAACAGGAATTGTAGCAAAACCACTAAATACCTTCATTCAGCAACTTTCTATATCAAAAAGGTCGGAAATAAATGGGCTATTGTTTTTATTCTTATCTTGCTCTGTAAAGCACTTTTGGCTGCAAGTTATTTTTATTATCATTATGATTTAATCCTATAATATAATATAGGAAAAATATGAAAGGGTCTAATGTGCATAGCAAGCACCTTTGAAATGTTAAATGCACATTGCGGATAATAGGTTTTCAATTTTTCTGGATGCAGGAGATACTGGGGATCGAACCGAGGTCTCAAATTTAAAACTCAAGATTTTATTTTGGAGAAAAAAAGAAAAAGACCGGAAGTTTCCATTGTGTGTGTTTGGAGACCTCCCGTGTTTAACTAATTAACATGTCATTTAGTCATATGATTGTTAGTTACTTATACGGGTTTCATCTGAATTAACGGAGATTAATGGAGAAATGACGGAGATAACCAACAGTCAGGTAAGTAATGTTAACATGGCGTTGTTGATACACGAGCATTACTGCGAACGGCTAATGCTAGCAAGCATTTTAGCTGTCGTCACCTTAGCTAATTAACCGTGAGTCGAAGTTTTCTTTGAAACTGTAAGGGTGGTCTTTCTTTTAATAATGCACGCAAGCGAAAGTCAGTCTTTTTGTGGTTTAAGTAACTGCTGACGTATATATTTTGTGGCTTTACCTGGGCATTTTAATGTCATTGTAAATGTAACCCCATAGCTTTTTTTATTAGCTAATAATTTGCAGCCTAATGTTATGTCAAATACGCATCCAGGTGACACATTTTGAACACGTTTGGTTCTCTGCCGCTAGAGGTCAGTATGAGACAGGACCGGAATAGCTAAACATAAGCTAACCCTCTACTTTTAAACCAGTTGGCTGAAATGTGATACAGCTTCACATAACGTAATTGCCATGTCATATCATATAATTTGTAATAGTATAAATTATAGGATCAGTTTTAATACAAATTGCGTAGTGTTCCTAATCACTCTCACTGCCCGGCTAGCTCAGTCGGTAGAGCATGAGACTCTTAATCTCAGGGTCGTGGGTTCGAGCCCCACGTTGGGCGCACATCTTTTTCACTTTCGGTCACAAACTGGTTCGTCGTACTCGATTGCATTTTATAAACCTATTTGTAAACCACATTTCAGATCTGCGGAGAGATGAGAAGACAATAGTAGAAGATAATACTACACTGTAATAGCTGGTAAATTATGAAATTATGAATAGGTCACTTATAGTCGGACGTGATTTTTAACTGCGTGTAGGAAAAAACCCTTTCAGTATAATGCAGTCCAATATAACAGTATAATTTAAACACCTATAGTCATTCTAGTATTGAGTCAACAATTGCTTCAGCGAAACATGTATGACAGGGTTATTATGTAGGATTTATTTACATCCTATTTAACTAATTGTGTATTTTATCACTGCTGCTGAATATCAAAGGACACAAAAAAATAGGTGCATTATTCAGCTGTGTTTAATTTTTAATGATCACTGTTATAGCACAGACGTTAAAGAGGAATACCCTAAGCACACTTTATACAAAGCCCCCATGGTGTATAATTGAAATGTGAGCATTCCTTCTCATAGAGGAAGGGATACATATTTTAAAATGTTTTACTTTAATTCATGTTTACTGTTTACTCATCAGGTTATTACAAAGGCCGTTAAGTTATTCCAGTAACACCAGTAACGTGTGACATTCAAAAATATTATTCACATAACAATTTTTCACTGTCCTTTACAAATCATCATAAACATGTTTTCACTGTACAAATTCTAATTTGAGCTGCCTTATTTTCTTATTCTTTTTTTTTCAGGCTGCATCTCAAAATAGGTAAGGAGCAACAGCCTCTCTTTTTCTCTTCTAACAGCCAAGAGGGAGGGAGGAGTTTAAACAAAGGCCTCTCCACATAAAAAAAATGGAGGCTTGTGCAGAGAAGCCATGGTGTCCTGCTCTTCACAGTCTACATGCTGCCATTCATACTTCTAAAGCCTTCAAATAAGACAACTACAACCAGGGTCTACACTTGGAAGCTTCAAAACAGTGTCACACAGGGTTTGTATGTCAAAAATACTTATATTAATCATGTTATTTTGTGGTTTTGTGGCCTAGTTCTATGCTTATTTTTTCTTCCCCTGTCTCACACTCACAGTGCTGCCCCTGCCTGCACTGAACAAAGATAATTACTCAGGAAACATTTCGGCCAATCAGAAGCGGCCTTGTATCCTGCCTGTGAGGAAGGCGACCAGTCAGGATCTGGCTAACAACACCGGGGCCTGATCGCCTTGCCTGAAGAACGGAGCCTTCCCCGGCTGAGGGCTGAGAGTGTCCTCCATGTTTTATAAGTGTTGACATAACAGTGTGTCAGGCAGCCATGCATCCACAGAGGTAAGCTCTGTCTTTTTTTATCTTAACTCTGATAATAACATGGCTTCCTTCTTGTCGTTGTGGTGACTGTTGCTTTCTCATGATGAATGTGCACACCTTAAAAATCAGTTTAGTGTGGTGCAGCAGCAGCAGCAGCAGGAGGAGGAGCTGGGGTGGATTGGAGGCCTCGGCAGGCCTCTGTGCTCCACTGTGGTGAGGGTGGGGGGTTGGGTAACGACTCTCACCCTTGCTCTCTCTCTGTGTCTCAGGGTCACATGGGTGCCCCAGACAACCAGGCTGCCATACAGGAGGCAGAGTGGACCATGGCAAATCCTTTTCCTTTTTTATAATGCAAAAGAGAGTTAGATTTAAATATGGCACCCACATTTCCCTCTCTGTTGTGGCAGTCTGTGTTGTAGCCTGGCAGAGAAAGAATGGGGGATGGGCAGTGGAGGGTGAGAAGGGGGGGTATTATGTACCCTTTGTAAGTGGATTGGCTCTGTGCTGTTTTTTGTGTGTCATGCCAGGCCGGGGAAAAGACGTGGGGGGCAACAGATGTTAGGAAGACACAGAGTGAAGAGCATATCTGAATACTGGTTTTTAGTCTTGATATTACACAAGAAAAAAAGAAACTGAAAACTGATTGGCTTGGTACACATTAAAGGAAATTGTACCGGGCATGTAGTTTCCACTCTCCTTATGAGCCGGCACGAAACAAACCTTTTGACCAAGGGAGATCTTCCAGTTGAATCTATAAGAAATAATATGTTAGGACTCAGGGTTCTTCTTCTTTAAAGCTACAGGCCCTGCGTTTACAGCCCTGGGCTTCGTCCTCTCTACAACACTATTGTGAAACTGCTTCCTCCACTCTCTGATACTCAGAAGGACAGGGGCCATTTTGTGTTTGGCTCTCCTCTAGTGCTCTCTTCACAGACCAGACAGCAGGGACAGGGAAACAACACGAGACTAAACAGGTTTTTACTGACGTGTGTGTATGTGTCTGTTTGTGTATGTGTTGCAATATTTTTCCCTCTTGGTTCTCTGTGTTCTTTCTGCTTCACATAAACAACTAATGTGATATAACAGATATAAAGAAAGACGCTTGTCTTTATAGATATTTTAATGAAATATACACAAAGACAAGGTGCATGAGTAAACCTGTCACTGCGTGTTGCCCCGGATTTTTCAGAGCACAGACTGTACATTGTGTTACATAATGGATCACCAATTTAGCAATCTCTACTGCGTGGGGGGAAACAAAGGACGTTTTCTTTCTCTTGTGGCATGACACAAGATGTGTTTCATCTACTACATGACACATAGAAAATAGTAACAAGACAATCTCTGCTCGCTTTCTCTGTAAACCCAGAAGTTAACTTCCACTATTACATAGAAATGAGTCCCTCCCATAGATTGCATTTACTTCTTACTGTTACTCCATAGTGCTTGATTAAGCCTGTTTGTATAAAAGCTACACCGATAGTTGGAAATGTCGGCAATGCGTAACGTCGTGTTGTTTGGACAGATTGGGTGGGCCTCCTTCTGAGTCAACGAGGCAGCTAAACAGGACGGAAGAGGTTGAATTGCAGAGTCCTGCATGACAACCACAAATACAATCTCCAAAGAAATGTCATTCTTTCAAATCCCCTCCGTTTTATTCTCTCATAACCACGAAGGGCAAACTAAAATGCAAGGAATACAAAACGTCTTATGCAGGGGGAAATCTCTGCATTGCAGCAAAAATGCTTTTTAAGAGGAAGAGGGGAGCCTGCACACTGTGATCCGTGTGGCACAGCGCAGCCGACCAATAATGTTCCACCCTGTTGGCCCTCCAGCCAATTGCAGCTGCAGTCGAGGTTAAAGATTGACAATCAGAGGGAGAGCAGCAGGGAGAGCAAGGGCCTTCTGGAAAATTCCACAGCCATCTTTGATTCACCCTGTACAGCCTAATATAAATCCAGGTCAATTTTTTTCTTTAATACACGATGTTGTGTGCCTATTATTGTTTAACATTGTGAAGGAGTCATGCTAAAACAGGTTATGTGGTTAAAATAATTGTATTACATTTTTAAAAGGATCTCATTCCTTTTGTTTTAATTATGTGTGTGTTGATTTCAGGAGAGAAAGCTAAACTATGCATTTCTTCATTTTTCTGCATGCGGTTGTTGGTCTTGTGAAAGCTGAATCTCTCTTGTCATTTGAAGATCCTAATAACCTCTCTTGGGTTTTTGAGGGTAGCACAGGGAGTTGGATGTTTTGTAGTCACTGGTATTAATCCCAAGTGTTTTCAGTGGCAGTTCCAGAGCAAAGAGTGCAGTAATGATGTTTGCATCGAGCAGCTTTCCTGGACCGCCATAAAGAGAGGCCATTTGTTCAGATATGTGTCTGTTGATGTGTAAGTACTGCACATTCTTTAAGTATAGAGAAAAGCTCTGCCAGCATCGCAGTGTGGCTTCACAGTGATGGTCCCTCTTTCTTCAGAATGAAATCTAATTATTCTATGACAGCAGTATTCAGGCAAGGAGGCAAGCCATGATCGAAGGGGAAAAAAAGGGAGATGAGTGCCTCACATTTTGCTGGATTTTCCCGTGTCTCCCTCTCTGTGTTCCTCCTTATCTGTGTGGTCGTCAGTGAAGGTTGGTCTTGACACAGCCGTGTTTTTTGAAATGTTGGACTGTAATCTCCACAGATCTCTCTGGTCCTCCTGCATGGATGTGCCAGTGCCTGAGTCTCGGAGTGGGGGATGGGGGAGAGGGGGGAGGGGAGCAAGCTGTGGCCTCCATTTTTTTGTGACGAGAGAACCCTGCTCGTCTCTCACAGGAGTGGAATCTGAAAAGGCATTGAGTCAGTGTTATTTCCTTTTTGTCCATCAGGTACTGCTTGCAGAGGGGAATACTGTGTGTTTTCCTGAACCCCGCGTCTCCCTGGAATACACCCCAGAATCTGCTGAGGATTTATTTGCCTTGTGTGATGGATCATAGCTCCTAATCTGAAAATGTCTTTTGGATCAGCATACTTTTTCACTGTGGGTCATTCTGTCTTCCTGGTAGTAGCAGCATAGCTTGTTATTAAGTGTGTCAACATGATAGGGCTGTGGCACTTTGTGCAGCAGCTCTCCACGCTGAAGGCGAGTGTCTCTCTTTTCAGGGCTGAGATACACGTAGCAGAGCGGCTTGGCTAACGTTGTCTTATTTTCATGTGGGCCTCGTTTGTTCACTCAGTCCGGAACAGGAAGGCCCCGGAGGGTTTGGGGTTTCTCAGTGTGTGTGTGTGGGGGTGAGTGTGTGTGTGTGTGTGTGCGTGGCTGTTGGCAGGCTGAAACAAGATACCCATATGCCATATTTCAAAAGAAACTCTGCTCTTTTCAGGCGAAGCAGGTTATGATGCATTTATTTTCTTGAGTTTCACTTTGATAAGCTCTCTGTGATAAGCATACTGAGAGAACAATGGATGCTTTTAGAATAGCCTTGATGATTGTGAATTGTTTACACAATCGTTTACATTATCTGGGATTTTGACTAGCAGAAAGAGGAGGTTTTAATCATTTTTAAACCTGAGTCGTGAAGCAAACATTAAGGATGACTTAGTGTTTAAATGGCTGTTGATGTGATAGCTGATGTTATCCGATCTAATCTCTCCCTGAGTCGTTAAACCTTTTAGATATGTGTAGTAACCTCCTTATGCCTCTCAGAGAACTGACATTTGATCAACTTTGTGAGGAATGTCTCTTTAAGAATGGAGGAGGGGACTTGAACAGCATTCCTTCACTTTCAGAAGAAAAAAAAAAGAGGCTTATCCCACAATTGTGGTTGACCTTTGAGTCGTAGCCTGTAAACCCGTCATCCTAGCTGGAAACCAGAGCTGCAAGCAAGCTATGAACTGGTCAAGTGTGTGACCTGTCAGGGGTCTTTGGGAGGGTTTTCTTCATGGAGCTTGAGAATAAAGGCGACATCCTTGGAACAGGGCCCTCTGTTGCTCTGACAAAGGAGGAGCCAAATACTCAAAGACTTGCATTTATCACCAGAACCCCTTTATTTTCACCCCCTTTGACTCTGTCCTTGGAGGAAAAGAGATGAGAGCAGGACATTAGACCTCGGAAATCAGGTTTTCCTGTACTTTATGTGCATGTGTGCAATTATATTCTTCTCTTTTCGATTGATTCATAACTTGAGATTTAATTAATAATAATAATACCCTGATTACACAAGCTTTGTAAACACAGCAGGATAGAAAGCTGATTTGAAAAGAAACCATACAAAATGCTTAGTGTACATGTGTGTAACTACAAGTATGTTTGGAAAATGCATGGGTCCAAATTTAAGAATTCACAGATTGCAGTGATGCATTCATGAATTTGTCTAAGAAAGCTGCTATTAAATAAACATTTGGTGAAGCTTTAGGCCAACCTTTTTTAGATATACTTCTCTTGAAGCTTGTGAAGCGAACCTCTTGCTATCTGTTGCCAAGAATGGGCCAAAATTCTCCTGGGTCACCCTGTTGTTACTGAAGGGGCTCGAGGGGTAGCGGAAACATATACTTTTATTATCATGAGACACTGTCCATCCATTAGTAAGGACCTACTCTCTGACTTTCCTTACTCGTTTTCTTTTGACCATTTGTTATCAAAATAGTACCGCAAAGATCAGGACCTAATTTGGCTACATTCTATAGCTGCTGAAGGGCGTAGGGTCGTATGTGTTGTTGTGAATATTAATTCACGGAGGAGCGTTGCCATGGCAATTGTTACAATTTCTTGCAGTGTCAAAAATGATTTGGACTCGTTTTTCACTGATGTAGAAATAATTTGAACTTGGAAGCACAATGTCAGAGATGTGCTTAAATTAAGTGAAATCAAAATGAATAACAATGGTAACCTGGAGTAGTCCCTATTGACAGATCCTTTGGGACCTGGGTGCCTTAGGTGGTTTTCCACTTGTTTACTGTTATGCTGCTGTGGCTTCTGATCACCCTTTCTGACTTTGTGTTTGCCTCTCTTTCTCTATTTCTGTGTGCTCTTGTGTGCTGCTCAGCAGTCTGGCTGAGGAGGAGATAAAGACAGAGTCTGATGTGGTAGAGGGGATGGATGCATCCGTACGATCCAAAGGTAAGTCTCCAAAGGCCGAGCACCTCTCATTAAGTGTCAACCATCTTAGGCATTTTAGTTCCTCGATAATGTAGAGGTTATTAACTAAGTTATGAGAGCTGTGTAATGCATCTTCGGTCTCCTAGATTGCAAAGATAATCCATCATGCCTGGCTGCCTGCCTGTTTAGTCAAGTATCAACGCAGGGTTTTGTTAGTTCAGTGGGAGCCCTTGAACTATTTGTTACTATAATGTGGTCATATAATATGTACAAGAGGCATCCTTAGTAATAATGGGATCAGTGAGACTTCTGTCAGCAGTAGATATTTATTTACCATGTTGTTGTAAACGCTAAGCATCTGACCATTTAATATCTCAGCTGAAATAAAATGTGTATTTCCGTGCTAAACTCTAAGATTGGGGGATGCTGGGAAGGATATATTTCTGTTAATTATGTTTTCCCCCATCTTGACTTCTTCTAAGAGTAGCTTAATAACTGTCATGGCACCTGTGTTTTAATCTTCTTAAGTTTCTGTAATGTGCAGTGAACAGAACAAGTCTTTTTCCCATTGTGTGATGATTTGATGTCTTTCTTCTTCCAGTCCCTGACCCACCAGGGTCAGCAGAACGGCTCGTGGCACCACAGAAGAGAAAGGTGTCCAGTCCCACACATTCCTCCAATGGACACTCTCCCTCGGACACCTCTCCCAGCCCTCTCAAGAAAAAGAAGAAGCCTGGGGCCATTCACAGTGGCAGCAAAGACCAGGTAAGTGCTCCAGTGAACTCATTTTGAGATCTGGCGTGCTCCCCAAGGCTATGGACGACGGTTTACTCGCTCAACTGGAGGCCTTTCCTTCAGTTAGCAAACGAGATAGCACCACAAATAATCCAAAACAAATGCCCCATATCAAATGCACAGTTAAGTTCTATTCAACTCTCTTTTGGTAGCAGGTCTTTCTCTTTTTTTCTTTCCAATATGGATAAAACCCCTTCAGCACAGACGGGATTGTCAGCTGATTGTCATAGCGACACCATGTGAAATGGTCTTGACATCATTTTCAATGCAATGTGATAAAGCCTTTATTTTTCAACCTAACAAAAAAACCACTGCAATGTAGTTTTGCAGGCTGCTGCCTTTGAATATCAGGGTCAAGTAAATATAAGACTAATATTGATTTTTAAGTAGCTTGACTATTTATTTTACTATCCACCACTTTTTCCTAATGGAATACCCAGAAAAGAGTTTTAAAAAAGTCTGGTTTAGTAGAGCCATGCAGTGGAAATGTGGTGAAATAAAACATGAGTTTGGAGGGCTTTGTTTTCCACCAAAGTTCCAAAGCAATTCCTCACTTTAAAAGAAAAATACATATCGTGGTGTCAGAGCACGTCAGTATTGAGTTTTATCTGTAGTACACTCAGTTTAAAGATAGATTTGTATGGACATAACATGCATGGATGTAAGCTGCCGTAACGTTGGAGATGTCTTGCTGTAATAGATGTGTTGTGTAGGTTTAGTGCACTGCCATGAATACATGGTCAGCTCACAGTTTATTATCAGACATTTAGCATTTTTTTTTATAAATGACCTCTGGTCATTTATAGTCTGTGGTTATACGGAATTTAAGTGAATGTATTTTGATGATATATATGCATATATTTTCCTTAACTGCTTGCCAATTATTGTGATGCTGAGTGATTCCCTTTTGCCCTTCAGTCCTCTGTTTAACTTACTTTAAACTGGCAGACAATTCTAGGGCCGAGCAATTACTCCTTATTTTAAAGTAAATGTAATATGGCTTTTTTCAAATGGCATTAGGTGCATTATTTTTTTATAGGTGAAATGTGTCAACAAATATTTTAAATTACTTAAGTAATATTTAATAGACTAGAGACTTAAAGGTGGGGTAGGTAAGTTTGAGAAACCGGCTCGAGATACACTTTTTGTTATATTCCATGGAATGCTCTTAACATCCCGATAGCAATGAATATCTTAAGTGCGTTGACAATAAATCCATTAAAAAATTTCATCTGTGGAACCCGTAGTGCTGTAAACAGCACGACCAATCATTTGAGCCGGGCCGGCTAAAATAACTGGATGGCCTACCTGCCTGTCAGCCTTCCATCTGTGCACAAACTTATCTCGTGCCCTCATTGGTCATGTGCGCGTTCGTGTGTGTTGGAGGAGGGGCTCTGTAAGGAAGTGGCAGATTTGTTCCGGCTGTGTATTTTCTAATTCTAGCTTACTCGAGCTGGTTTCTCCAAAATTACCTACCCCACCTTTTAAGCTAAAGATAATTTTGACTGTGAATCAGCAAAGTACAAGTTGGGTTTTTAATAACCACACTGCTAACTTTGTTGACTATAATAACTGAAATACAACAGCTCTCATACTCAAGCTCACACCCTTAAACCTGTTTGGTTAGTCTTGATTCACTCAGTCAAATGTTCAGATCATTTAACTATTTACTGTAAATAATTATTTTGTTGGGTTTATGAACTGTTATGCCCTATATGCTGCTTTCCCTGCTTATCCATCCTTAATGCTGTCTTGTTTTTGTTGCACTGCACCTTTTTTGTGTTCCTGCGTGTTTTTGAAACCTGCCCCCTTGTTTTTCTTACCTGCATTTCAGTCAGAGCTAAGACATGGTCCCTTTTACTATATGAAGCAGCCAGCACTCACCACAGACCCTGTTGATGTTGTACCGCAGGACGGCAGGAATGACTTCTAACTGCTGGCTGTGACACCGCGAGGCCAGGTGCTCTGCTGTGAGCTCTGCCCCCAGGGTGTACCACGCCAAGTGGCCCTCAACTACCAGCTGAGCCCGAGGGGCGACTGGTTCTGTCCAAGAGTGTGGAGGTTATCTCGCAGAAGACGTGTATGTGTTGGCGGTACAAAAACGATTGTGGCAAGGCCACAATCTTGCTTGGCTTAGTAGACAAAACGGGTGTCAGACTATGTGCCATGAGCAGCTTCAGGGACACAAGGACAAATTGGTGAAATAACTGCCTTTTTTGTTTTTTGGCTGATTCAAAAAAACCTTAGCCGCCTACATGACACATGGTGCGACACTCGGCAAGCTTTATTGCTCACACTGCAAGTTTTAAAGATGTTAGGATATTGAACATTTTGATCAGCTTCTTAATAATTCAGGCAAATTTAGTACGGTCTTCCTTTTCATTGGAACAATCTAAAAATCAAAATATACAAGCTAAACAAAACCAAAACATTTAAATCAGACTGTTTATTGGTTAATCCTGTTCTTGTAATTGGTGTTTGATGATTTTCATTATGTGTTCTTCGTGTCATTAATTAAAAAAAGTGTATTTTGTTGCCAGAAATCAACGTTGCTGAAAGCATCGAAACCCCCACAGAGCAAGGCAAATGACTTGCCTCACAATAGAACAACTCTTCCTATTTGCTCAAAATTCGCACTTCAAAAGATTTAAACAGCCTGGGGTAAGACCTGTAAAAGATTCCATTGTATTGCTGCTTTAATAATAAGAATAGAGAAAAAAGAAATGATGGTTTTTTATAAAGCCCTGAGGCAAATCTGTGATACTTGTTAGGTAAAAAATAGAGAAATGATGACTTGACCTTTAAGTGACATTTATATTCAAACACAAAAGTGCAGGACAATGCATTCAGACATCCTAACATTTGGCTAATGTATGCCGTCTCCCTTTTTTGATTATTTATTGTCCTCGGTGACAGACTGAACCTTTTCAGAAGCCTGTGGTCTCTGAAGCAGCACCCGGATTAATGCAGCAGTATCATTTATTCACGCATGGACCTGTCAAACTTATGTAGAAAAGAGTAACTTTGAAATTTAAGATTGAATTAAATTAAACACAACATCATAGAAACCATTCTTAGGAATTACATAGAGGTTCACTGCATGCTCCGCTTTATAATGAACAGTACAGTACTTATTTTCATATTAAGGTGTCTCTTAATCTTGTTTTTTTTTCCTTCCCTCTTTTTTACATAGAATAATTCAAAAAGAAAAATGTATGGCTAGCACTGAACGCCATTTTCTTGCTGGACATGCAAATGGATTTTAGCAACAACAGAGGAGAAAATACAGTCTTCCAACTGCATTAATGCTATCAACGGAGGAAGCTAATTTATATACCACGAATCAACGCCTATTCCAACACAGCTTTAAAACCATTAAATTGAAGACTGGATATTTGATTCCAGCAACTGCACAAACTTAAGCAGGCAACCTGCTAAAGTCATCATCAAAGATTTGTGAAAACATGAGGTAAGCCGGAGCCTTTACTAATTTAA